TTTTTTATGCATAATAGTAACCCTAGAATGTGATCAAACAGTTTAAAATAGCTGGGCTAAGATATATAAAAAATTTTAAGACTGCAGAAATATGGTAATTCAGTATACACATTATCCCACCGGTTACAATTGTGACTGACCATAAAATACAATTTTTCACACACTTTTCCAAAAAAAAAATAATTATTGATTATTTCAAAGGGTTACTAATGACACATCATTTGGATATTTTCATGTCTGGGAAAAATTTGGGATTAAACGGGTTAAAATGCGTTTTAAACATAAAGTTAAGTGGTTTTCATAATTTCATAATTTAAAAGTTTAGTGCAGAAGTATCGAATTGGTATTGATATCGACGATACTGCCTTGAAAAATATCGGTATCGTATCGAAAACAAAATAAGGGGTATCGCCCATCCCTAAAAGTGATGCAATTACGCGTACATAGGATGTGTGTTCGACTTAAAAGCAGCGGCTCAGATCGATCAGTGTTTGACATCAAAGTATCGAGAACGAGAGCATTTTGAAAGCATAAGAAACTGTCTGTATGGTATTTTGATGTCATACACCGATCGGTCTGCACACGCAAACAAAGCCAAAACCTAGATATTTTAGGCAATATAGAAATCCTGGCCAGGACGCGTCCGGGGAAAATGGCACGTATGGTCACCCTATGTAAGACGTCACATCATCTCACAGGAGGATTTATTTCAAACACTCGACTGACATTATGAAGTGAGTTTGGAGTAAAAACATGTTATTAAATGTGGTATTTTCACGTGCTTTCAGATGGAGCAGCATTTACTGCACAGAGCCGTAGTTCACTGACAAGCTACGCAAACAGCTGTTATTATCGTGAACGATTTCTTCGATTTCATAATCGTACGATTAGGGCTGTAACGGTATGAGATTTTCACGGTATGATAATCGTCTCAGAAAATATCACGGTTATCCCGGTATATATTAAATAATTCTTATCAGTAACAATGACTCTTAAAAGAACAAGAACACGTTATTTGAGTGAACAAATCCTTTATTACAACAAACTTGAAACCATTTTAATTAAAAGTATTGAAGTCTCCCTTCTGAATTTAAAAAAAAAAAAAATATTTAAAAAAAATAAAAAATAAAGCTGTAAACTTTAAAAAACTTTAAAAAATGTACAACTCCTTTTATTTTTGGCACAGTTAAAACATGGACAAACATGATATTCCTTGAAAACAATGTTTAAATAATTTTATTATAAAGAATATTATTATTGTTATTATAACTTTGAAGTACATTGTACAATGCTAATATATTTCAGTCATAATTTCAAATTAAATCGAACCTTTATTTTTTTGATGGGTTATAGCGGACCTTTGAGTTTCAGAGTGTATTTGACAATGGTTTTTCTCAAATAAAACTAGGAAATATTTATTTACGTTTTCTCTCAGAGCAGCTCTGCTGATGTTCATGTTTATGTAGACGCTGAACACACCATTAGCGTCATGCGTATTTGCAGTAGATAAAACAGCGCCACTCAGAGACATGCAGAAACAAGCAGATTAAAAGCTGTTTCTTTGCGCATAAATATTCACAGACACATATCATATCTACTTTTGATTTATCCTTCCATCAGATTGCGTGTTTTACGTGACATCCTCGTTATACTTATAACTTGTTATTAATGCGACACACCTTCATCTGCACGGAGGGATGGTGTCCGCAAATATGAGCAAGATGTTGGATGTATTGCCTGCTTTTGCAGCCACTCTAAAAGTGATGCAATTACGTGTACATAGGATGTGTGTTCGACTTAAAAGCAGCGGCTCAGATCGATCAGTGTTTGACATCAAAGTATCGAGAACGAGAGCATTTTGAAAGCATAAGAAACTGTCTGTATGGTATTTTGATGTCATACACCGATCGGTCTGCACACGCAAACAAAGCCAAAACCTAGATATTTTAGGCAATATAGAAATCCTGGCCAGGACGCGTCCGGGGAAAATGGCACGTATGGTCACCCTATGTAAGACGTCACATCATCTCACAGGAGGATTTATTTCAAACACTCGACTGACATTATGAAGTGAGTTTGGAGTAAAAACATGTTATTAAATGTGGTATTTTCACGTGCTTTCAGATGGAGCAGCATTTACTGCACAGAGCCGTAGTTCACTGACAAGCTACGCAAACAGCTGTTATTATCGTGAACGATTTCTTCGATTTCATAATCGTACGAT